TGCCACTGCTAAAAGTAGGTTCAAGGATCACTGAGGTCCATATACATACTCTGTGTCAGATTGCATAAAAATGTGAAAGCTTTTGCTATTCAAAGAGTTCTCAGTAGTTCCTAATTATAACACAGTGTATGAAGGAAACTGTAACACTAAAGCCACCTGCTACAAATTAACTTCTGTATTCTCTACTCTCCAAACCTTCTCTCTCAGTCTCACTTTTGAACATAAAAGAGATTAAGACAGATTCAGTCTAGAAGAACTTACTGGGATCCTAAAGAAAAATTAAGTTCACCTTTAGAAGGGTGCTTTGGAATCACCTTCTAAAGCAAGTCCATTCTGAGCAACAATTGGTAAAAAAGAAAACAAAGAAAATAAGTCTAATAGCTGTGGACTTAGGGTAAAGTTGACACTCGTGGACATAATCACTGCACTACCTTTACTCAAAGTCTTTCCACACTCCTTTTCTATCTTTTCATCTATAAAAACTTTCCATGCCCTTCTAAAAAGCAGAGTATGAAGCTGCCTGTGATTAGATGCAGAGAGCAATGGTTGAGACAGTGAAGGGCTGGCTTGAATAAAATTGTAAAGGGAAAGAGGAGGATTCTGAAATAATGAACATATTGTCAGCTACCTTTTATGGATTAAAGAACAGAAAGTAACCTTTTTACTGGGGCCTCACAGAATTTCAGAGAAGCCTTCCAATTTGAAGGATGGGAGTTCCCAAATGATGGAATTCTTCAGCTTCATCAGGAAAGTGGATCATATTTTCAACATTTTTAATTAAAATTGAAAGTTAAATTCAAAAAGTATTCAGTTTTTAATCCTGTCTGTGTATAACTAGGGAAATTTGTAGAACTTCATTTGGAAATAAGGTTAAACTTATGTTTCTTGATAAATGTAAAATATATCTAATGCATTCTCAGCTAAATTGTAGCTAAAAATATCTAAAGTATAGCTAGTATATAACTAATAAAATATAGCACTCATTTCATCCATTCCTGCTCATATTTAGGGATAATTCAAACTTATCTTAAAGAGAAAGAAAATGTATGAAGGAAGTAACTAAAGAAAAAGGACCAGGAGAAGGGGGATGAAGAAAAATAAGGAAAAGAATTTGATGTGGATGACATACCATGGGTTTATGAGTAGAAAACTTGTTAGAGAGTAGTAAAATAATATTTGTTACATGACAACTGAAGCCTATGATACTATTGATGATATGCAATAAAATAACAGTTTGTTTTTTCTCTTATCTCAAATGGCTTCAAACGATCCTACTTCAAACAGGGCTAAATCCTGTGATGCAAACTCTACAATAAGATTTGGAAGGAAGGAGAGATTAATAGGAATGACCAAGTTTACACCTTTATAAAATAGGAAGAAATAGCAGAGTCTATATTGAAGTATTATTTAAGTATTAGCAGCAAAGCATTTAACAAAGTGTTTGACAGAGTAAGCATCTATTAATATTGTTTATTAACTCAAAATTCATAAAAATAAATGCAAAGAAGGGCTATCATAACTAATTTTACATAAGAAGTACAATTTATAACAATTATGGTATACTGTTTAAGTGTTTCTAAATTCAAAGGAATAGAAACTGAAAATTTTTCAAGGTTATGATGGAATTGATCATTTTGATCTTAGTGACAAAATCCACACAGATTCTTGGGCAAGTCATAACAAGAGTCATTTAAAAACTTTAAAAAAGTCAATGTGATTTAATCAAGTAATCCAGGCTTAGCATTTATCTTAAGAGAATATGTTTTAATTATCAAGCAATAGGAGGTTCATTGCAATTCTAACTATATTAGTATAAAACTGGTATCAACTTAATCAAATAAAGAAGAGAGTAGGAAGAATTTGCTATACTATAGTCCATTAACCTGGTGGGGTATTATATGTTATTAACCATATTGATTATATATATATATATATATATATATATATATATATATATATAAAATGTTCAATTAGTAATGTGCTTATAATAAAATTTTGAAAACACAAATAATAAAGAGGAAAATTATAGAAGGGCCTCCCTGGTGACCTAGGGGTTAAGTCTTAGCACTATCACTGCAAAGCCCACCATGATAGCCTGAGTTTGATTCCTGGCCAGAGGCTAATCCACATGTCACAAGAGACCTCTCCTGTATCACTTGCTGCTCCCCTCAGCGGTGTATTTCGCTCCGTCTGCCTATTTTGCTCCCCACTCTGTCTCTGGTGAATCCTCTCCCCCTCTCCCCACATACCTCCCACACCTCTATACAAAAATAAATAAATAAAATCTTTTAATAAATAAATAAAATTATGGAAGAATATGGATTAAAACTAAAGAGTCCTGACCACTGAGGATTTTCAATGGCAAGGTAAATAGACAGGAAAGACTTGAAGGAGATATTTGCAAAGCCCTAAGTTTACAAGGTATTACTACCTAGAGTGTATGAGAAATTCTCCAAAAACATAAGCAAGAAACAATAAAAAAAAAATTACACATAGACCATTCTCCAAATGCAGAGCTTAAATGATTGCAGAACTAAGCTGCAATACCAATCTAAGGAATACAGATAAATGCAATACTAAGGTAACATTCTTTAGTCATCAATTGCATAATAGAATGATACATATAATGCCACGGTCTCATGAGATTGTGATGCAATGGGATCTTTGTACACTGCAGAGAGAGTACAGGCTGATGCCCTCATTCAGAAGAAAATCTGGCAACAGCACTCAATGGATTTATAAATGTGTGTACCCTCCTACCAAGCAATCCTGGTATATTCCCTAGAGAGAAGCCCTAACTTCAGATTCAGAAAGCAACATTTCTGTGTGGCTATAGCATGTTGTTTGGGATGGAAGTAATTAGGGACAACTTGATGTCCACTCCTGGAGAACTATGTAGAATTTGCAATTTGCTTTATGGCCAAACTGGCAACAATGGTCAGTAGTTGGAAGAAATGAACTCATTTTAAATATAGCACTACAGATAAATAACCGAACACAAACTCTGAATGAATGTAGTAAAAAACAGAATGAGGTTTATAACACAAAGGATTTACATAATTTAGAATAGTTTCTCACATACACACAACTACATGCTGCTTTCTAAATGCCACACATGTAGACAAAAATAAATATATATGGAGAGTGGTTTAATGAACACATGTTCTAGAGAGAATCAAAGTGAGGATTGGAGATTGAGAATATAATCCAGCAAGAGATCTTGCCAAATTGATAATATGAAGTGATAATATGAGGCCACACACTGAAAGAAACAGTGAACTTAATTGTGTGTACCTGAGGTTAAATTAAAAAAAAAGAATTAAACTAAAATGCATATAACTTTATAAGAAAAAAGTTAAAGGAATGTATAATGGCATGCAAACTGATTAAAATAACAATAAAGTGGAGTACAAACTAATGTTTATATGAATTTAAACTAAAACCCAGAACTGTTATGCAAACTGATTAAAGTACCAACAAATAAAATAAATGCAAAATGATATACACAGTGATTGTAACAACCTAAACATGCATTCATGTAAGTTAGTTAGGACAAGGGCCCTGTTCTTCAACTCAGCTTTTTTTGACACGACTTTTTAGGGCAAAATTTTATAAGGATGGTTTATGGATGGCTCATGGGCAAGGATTCTTCACAAAACCACTATAACTGGGGCACCATATTCTGTTCTTGGAATTCCTTTTTGAATCTTTCCTTCCTTGCTCAAAGTTGGAGGGTAAGACTGACTAAAGTTCTCTCTTCTACCAAGCCCCAGGGAAAGGACTGAAGTGATAACTTAGACAAGTGTCTATGTCCTGTTCTGTTGCTCTTAGAATATTTAGACAAAATGTTTTCAAAATGGCTAGTGAAGTAATGAGTACTGACTTACTCACCTTAGAAAGAGTCATCACTATACCCTGCACATTCCTTCCATGAATTCATATTTCAGGAGTAAAGTCTAGAGGACAGGAGGCCAGGTTAACTAGGCCAGGTTAGTCAAAGTCAACGAATCCCTTCTATTGTCTTTTCAGAGACTAACTCAAAAGCCAGGTTTTCCACCAAGGTGGGGACTAGACCAAGCTTTTCAACAAGCTTGTCTTTGATCTTGCCTCCTGCTCATCTCCCTTCCCAGAGAGGGTTACTGAAGAGGGACAGTCTAGGAGAGCATTCAAGGTCCTGCTTGCAACCCCAAAATAAGACATAATAAGGGTGAAAACAAAGTTTGCTCTTTAAAATTAAAATATGTTGAGAGGTGAAGTCATGGATGATTGTTTTCTCTGATTTATAAATATTTATATTTATATATATATATATATATATATATATATGCCTGTTTCCCAATCTGAGCAATTTTTTATACCTTTATAGATTGCATATTACATATATAACATGCAAAGCTAGGATCTATATGAGATAAAGCAAAAATTCTAAATATGCTACACATAGAAAATGTCTAGCAACTTTCTGTACCTTCTTATAAATCTTACTGTTTCCTTCAAGGTTTTGTTGTTGCTATCTAGGAAGTCCCATTACCTTCTCTAATTTCTCTTACCTATCTTGTGTTCATCTTGCATCCAAATGCAGCAACTTCTGACATTCTTACACGGCACATATTTTACCTTTCTCAAGTAATTTTTATTTGGGAAACAAAGGTATATCAATTCCTCAGTCCTTCAAAAATCTATGTTCTCAATATATTTTGAGGTGATTATTATATAATGCAAATGTATCCATTGGTATATTAATCCCAGAAATCAAAGCCCATCACCTTATATCTTTGAATTCTTATTTTTAAGGTTTCAAATCTCAGTAATAGTGTGGAATGGAGTGCTTTACTAGAAAACTCTGTAATTATGTTTAAAATATTGTTTATAGTGATAGCAGAGGGGAAATTTCTGGTCTTGTACCACCCAGGGCCTTCTTTTCCTCACAAAAGCAAAGACACAAATTGAGAGATGGGAACTAGCATAGTTATATTAAAGCAAATTCAAGAAACTGTTACCTTAGTTTCTTTCCTCCTTCTGCAATTTTAGCTTTTTGAAGATAACCTTCTTTTTCAACCATCTGTAAGAAGAGTGCATATGTTAAAACCGTGACAAACTCATGCATTTTCAGTTTGAAAGAACCTAGGCTTTCCAACAGCTATTGCAGTGATGGAAGTTTGCAGTCACAGAACTTCATTAATAATGCATAGATAGCTTATGGGAAGTGCCTCCAAGATCATAGTCATTACAAGTCGTTAAATATCCAAAAGAAGGATCACAAAGAAGAATGGGAATGATTTGTTAAATAGTGATACACCTTTACCCACTTTCCTTTAGGCGTTGAATTCACTTGCTTATAAAATTGATTGAAATGATAAAACAAAGACAAATTTAACTCCTTCCTTCATTTTACCGATCATCCTTAGAAGTTATTCCTTTTCACTCCTCACCCCCACTTCTTATGCCTACTGAGGCTAGGGAATGAAACAATTCCATGGGGCTAGATAATGGAGCCAGCTGAACAATGGAAGTGCATTTACAACAGTGTCATTTCTTGCATTTCATTCAGCTACCAAGAGAAACTCTCGCAGCTCGTCTCATTATCTTCTTCCTTGATGGTAAGCTTTTTTTTCCTCTCCTATTTGTATTTATTGGCTTTAATTGCTCCTACAGCTGCAGGTTTCTGCAAGGAGAGTCAAAAAGTCATCATACCACTGCAGAGATTTTTGTGGCATTCTAGCTTAAATAAATTTGCAAAGTAAACTGTGATATGTTCACTCCCAGCAAAATCTAAAATAGGTGTTTTAATTTCTTCGTACCCTCTTTCTACCTTCCCCGGTCTGACCCACACTACTGATCTCAAACCCTTATCCTGTGTTTCACATTTTCACTCTTGATGAACTGCCAACATCTTTCTCCCTACACTATATGCAAGAAGCTTTAAGAAGTCACCTGCCTAATATCAGAGAATCAAAATCCCCAGTGCCACTCTTAAACTCTACCTGAGTGTGATACTCTACCTCTGCCATGTCTCTACCTCTCTACCTCTGAAATAGAAGAAATATACTTTAAATTGTCTGTGTGTTGTTGAAGTCTTTCTATGATACCTTCTGCAGTCTCTTTTAGGTACCCCTGCCCTGAATCTCCATTTCATTCTTCCATTATTACTATCATAACACTTATTGGACTATAGTGTAATTACTTGTTTTGTTATGTCTTCATCTCTGCTGTGACTCCACCTTCCACACTTGGATTCCCAGCACCTTGAGTACTTGCTGGCACCAACAGTCACAATAATAAAAATTGTTTGAACAAATGAATGAAAGAAAGGATTGCTATTAAAATCTTTATAGGAAAATGGACCAGCCAAAAAACTCAATCTCATTATGACAGGGAAAGCAAGACATATTTGGGGGTAAATGAGTGTCTCTCAGTCACTAAAATTTCCTGAAAGCATTGCCCAATTATGGGCCTCCCTGGTGGTGCAGGCGATTGAGTGCAGTGCTGTGGAGCTGTCCGCAGCCTCTGCAGCATGGATTCGATCCTGGCTGGCCAGTGAGATACCCGCATGGTGCGACAGACCTCTACTGACTCGCCCACTGCTCCCCTCAGCAGTGTATTTCAGTTGGTCGGCCTGTTCTGTTCCCCACTTTATCTCTGGTGAATCCTCTCACCCTCCCACACATCTGGACTCTACCCTGATTCTTGTATGCATAAATAAATAAATCTTTAAAAAAAACTGCCTATTTAGAAGACTCTCTGATATAGGTGAAATCATTATTATATTCATTATTATAGACTTAACTTTCAAAATATATTTTGTAAATACATTTTTAAATAAATGATGAAGATATAATTTATAATAATAGCAAAGTATTTTTCACATACATACATTTTCAGAAAACATCTTTTACATCAGCATGTTCTCCACAAGTCTTAAAGGGTATAAAGAAGTTTTCTTGGGTAATTTTTGGAACTGTGATGTTCACTGGTGTCTTTTATGTATTTGGAAACATTTATCCATTTTATTTCCCCTCCTTTTTTTTTTCTATATATGCTGTCTCCTTTTCTTGGGGATCCTAGATCTTGCCAGGGAATCTTATTTATCTATTCCCTAAAAACCCATATTATAAGCTCTCTGTTTAACTGGTTTCTACAAATATTTGGAAGAAAGATGTTCTCAGTGTCAATTAGCACCACAGAGGGATTCCCTGTCTTTAGGAATGTGTATTTAGAAATTTTGTTGTGTAACCATATACAAAGTTTATTGTTTTATTTAAGCTCTCTTGTGATGAAAATAAAACTTCCCAAAAGCCTGAATTTCTCTATTAAAAGGTAAAAAAAAAAAAAACCCTCTCAACCCTAGCATAACCATTGATGCACGCATACTCTCTTAAAATTATTGCCTTTTTTACTTAAAAAAATGCTCATTAAAAGACTACTGGGTGGACACTTAGTACCTAAAGATGTATTTTTTGATGTATTTCTCTAAAAGGAGAAGGGAAAAGTTGACGGAAAAGCTGATATTCTTTCAGGGACATTTGAAAGATACACTTTAAGATTCTGTGCATATGTAAGCAATGTTTTCTCCAGACAATACAAGACCTTTCTGGGATACCTGAGATTGATGCCAGAGACAGATATTTATCTTAGAACTCTATAAATATGACATAATTGCTATCAAAGAGGTTGAGTCAGTTCATATGGTGTTGGGTCAATGCAATGGAGTTGCCTTGTCTACGTCAAAGTTGCAGAGAAAGAAAGGGGGAAGAAAGTGAATTGCTAGTTGATAATTTACTCTTCATCAGCTTCCAAGGTCCAAGCTGCCTTACGTTACAAGAAGGTATTAATACTTTTACTATGTATTTTTCCCAACTACTGCACATGATTTTCCACATCTACATGTATCTACAAGTACATTTCCACATGTAGATGTGTTCATATACAACCAGCATAGTCTACTTCTGGGATCAGATATTCATTTCTCTCTGTTATCATTTTCATGCATCATTTTACTTTTTCACCTTTCCAATTCTTTCATCAAAATTTCAATTAGTAACACTCTTTTTCCCCAAATTCCAGCTGTTTGGTTCAAAAGGGAACTGCAAAGATTAATAGGACAAACTTAATCTTATTGAGGCTTATACCTACATGAGTTCACATTCAAGATACTCCTGTTCCACATTCCAATCTAGCTTTTCCATGGAAAAAGAATACTTCAGTCAGACTTCCTACACTAAAAGCACTGCATTATTTTAAGCCCCATGCTGGCAAGCACAGCTTCCATGAGGTAGATTTAAATATTTTATTATTCCTTTGCCATCAGACTTTGAAATATCTCACAATGATGAAGGTACTAGGAATCATCAGTTCTGCGAAAATCATAGAAGTTGAAAGAAGTATTAGGCAAGCAAGAGATTGTACTTATTTTGGATGTAGGTCATAAATGGCATCTTATTAGTTATTTTAATTAATTATTCCCACTTTATGTTAGCCCCATGAGCTGGGGATAATGATATATAAATTATAACAGAAAATGTCAGTTATCTAGGACCCAAATGGTCGTGTCTATAATAATTTACAAAGTTAAGTAAAACTGTACCCCAAGTTCAGGGCCAACTTGAAGTTCTTTGAAGTAGTAGCACTCCCCAAGCTATGTCCACTTAAGAAATATTAACTAGGGCCTCCCCGGTGGCGCAGCGGTTGAGCGCTGGGTTGCGAAACTGCGCGCGGCCTCTGCGGCGCCGGTTCGATACCCGGCTGCTCCCCGGCCACTGGAGGAGGGTCCCACATGGCGTGCAGACCTCTCCTGCCGCCCGCTGCTCCCCTCAGCAGTGTACTTTGGTCCTTCTGCCTGCTCTGCTCCCTGCTCTGGCTCTGGTGAATTCTCTCACCCTCCCGCACTTCTGACTGTACCCAGTGCATGTATAAACAAAACAAACAAACAAACCAGCAAACAAATAAATAAAGCATGCCTCTATTAAAAAAAATAAAAATAGGGGGGCGGAGCAACATGGCGGCGAGGAGACGCTGCGAGTAAGATCTCCCATTAAAAAAAGTTAATAGGGAGGAAAAGCGGCAGGTCCCAGTGAGAACTGGGACACGGAAGATAAACGGACGACTCCAGCAAACTGCCCGAAGAAGAAAGTTGCCATAAAAGAGGACCAGAAGGGAGGGAAGCGCAGAACCCTGCTCCCCTCCCCCGCCCACAGAGGCAGCACTCTCCGACCGGCAGAGAGGAGGAAAACAACAAACCAAAACGGCCAACAAGAAAAACGGACACAGCAAGCGGGACTGTGAGTGGAAAGGAACTATTGCAGCCACCACACCCCGTGAACGGGAGCTGAGGCGAACCCTGCAGGATCCGCCGCGGAGGTGAGCTCCAGGCGCCATTAAAGAGAGCCCCGCCCCCCAGGAGGAGACCAGCACCAGCACACAGCCCCGGCCGCCCGGCTGCTTGAAACTGACAGATGACTCCTGGAAGAACCAGAGGGGAACAGAGAAGCCCACCCAAGATGCCGGCCAGTCCCAACAACACAGTGTCCCAACGCATACGGCAAATTAGAAAACAGACAGTAGGGAGGAGAAGAACCACACGCAACCTAGCAACTCTCCAGAGAAAAAGCACACCACAAAAAGAAAGCCAGCCCCCAGATTGCAAAGACAATGACTTGGAAGAATTTCTGAGCCTTCCAGAAAGAGAATTTAAAATTGCCGTGATTAAAAAACTGACAGAAGTCATAAAGGAAAACAATGATAAGGGAAAAATAATCAACGATCAGAAGAATGCAATTGAGTCCCTAGAGAGGGAAAACAATGGTCAGAAGAAAGAAATTGAGTCCCTAAAGAGGGAAGTAAAAGAAATGCAGGAGATCAAAGAATTAATGGAAGAACTAAAGAATTCTGGGAAAAGCAATGAAAGCAGAATAGATGAAATGGAAGAACGAATAAGTAATCTTGAAGACACAGAAATAAAAAGAACCAAAACAGAAAAGGAAAGAGAAGTACGAAGGAAAAAGAACGAAGAAAGACTTCGGGAACTATCGGACTCCATGAGGAAAGGAAATATAAGAGTTATAG